TCTGTGCCTCCTGGATTTTGATGCCTGTTTCCTTCCCCAAATTAGGGAAGTTCTCTGCTATAATTTGCTCCAATATTACCTTCTGCCCCTCTCTCTCTTTCTTCTTCTTCTGGGATCCCAATTATTCTAATGTTGTTTCGTCTTATGGTATCGCTTATATCTCGAATTCTGCTGTGAATCAGTAGTTGTTTATCTTTTTCTCAGCTTCTTTATTTTCCATCATTTGGTCTTCTATCTCACTGATTCTCTCTTCTGCCTCATTTATCCTAGCAGTTAGCGCCCCCATTTTTGATTGCACCTCATTAATAGCCTTTTTGATTTCGACTTGGTTAGATTTTAGTTCTTTTATTTCTCCAGAAAGGGTTTCTCTAATAACTTCCATGCTTTTTTCAAGCCCAGCTAATATCTTTTTTTTTTTTTAAAGATTTTATTTATTTATTTGAGAGAATGAGATAGAGAGAGCATGAGAGGGGGGAGGGTCAGAGGGAGAAGCAGGCTCCTCGCCAAGCAGGGAGCCCGATGCGGGACTCGATTGGGACTCCAGGATCATGACCTGAGCCAAAGGCAGTTGCTCAACCAACTGAGCCACCCAGGTGCCCCGCCCAGCTAGTATCTTTAAAGTGATGATTCTGAACTCTAGATCCGACATCATACTAATGTCTGTATTGAGTAGGTCCCTGGCAGTTGGTACTACCTCTTGTTCTTTTTGTTGAGGTGATTTTTTCCGCCTTGTCGTTTTGTCCAGAGGAGAACAGAGTAATGAGAGAACAAATGCTAACAGGGTAACAATGTCCCCAGAAAATATACTCTAAACAAATCAGAAAAGACCTGACGCCAGGGGAAAAGAAAGGGAAAGAGAAAAAGGTAAAGATAGAAACCAACAAAAACAGAACAAAACAAAAAAAAACAGAATATGATCAAATATGATCAGGCTGGTACACAGATCAGTGCCACACACTAGATTTTAGGTGTATTTTGGTCTGTTAGAAGAAAGTGCCTCCCAAAATTTTAAAGAAAGGAAAAACTTATATATGTACAAAAATAAGGGTTTATATGATGAAGGGATGGAATATGACTGTAAAGATGAAAATTATAAAAAATTTTATAAAAGGAATTGATAAGACATTGTTTGAAAAAAGAAGAGGATTTAAAAAGAAAAGAAAAAGAAAAAGGGAGAGAATGTGATCAGGCAGGAGAGTAGAAAAAAACCATACACTAGAGATTTAGGGTATATTTTGATAACTATCTCAAAATTTTAAAGAGAGAACAACTTATATATATATATGCCAAAAATATGGGTAACTACTATGAAGGGATAGAATATGACTCTAAAAATGAAAAATAAAAATGTTTTTTAAAAAAGGGATTGATAAGATGTTGGTTGAAAAAGGGAAAAAGAAAAATTCAAAAAAAAAAAGTTAAAAAAAATTAACTTTGAAAGACTAAAGAATCATGGTAAAAAAGCCATGGATTCTATGTGCGTTGTTCCCCTAGCGCTGGAGTTCTGCCGTTCTCATTGATGGGTAAACTTGGTCTTGGTTGGCTGTTCTCGCTGATCTTCTGGGGGAGGGGCCCGTTGCCGTGGTTCCCAAATGTCTTTGCCGGAGGTGGAATTGCCCCGCCCTTGCCGGTCCGGGCTAAGTAATCTGCTCGGGATTGCTCTCGGGAGCTTTTGTTCCCTGCAAGCTTTCCCTACGGCTTTGGAGGCCGAGAGTGAAAATGGTGGCTTCCCAATCTCCGCCCCAGGAGGAGCCGAGAACTCGGGGCCCCGCTCCTCAGTGCGCCCCCAGAGAAAAGCAGTCAATCGCTCCCATCTCCCCGGTCTCCGGCCGCACTCCGTGCTCACCCGGCCTGTGACTGAGCGTTTCTATCTCTGGCACCCGACACTGCATGGAGTCTCCAAACCCAGCAGATCCCTGCGGTGCACTCCTGCACCTCTTCTCCCAGGGAGAAGAAGGGGAGTCTCCCCGGATCTGCCACTTGTTGGGTCCCTGCTGGAGGAGCAGTGGCCTGACTGTGCTGCAGATCACGGTTTATGGCAACCCTGAGCTGAGAGCCCGCGCCTGGGCTCCGCCTCTGCAGCCGGCTTCCCTGCTCCGATACCTGGGAGCTCTGCCGCACTCAGGCACCCCCGGTCTTCCTGTGACCCCGAGGGTCCTAAGACCACACTGTCCCACGAGGGTTCCACCCCCCGCTTAGCCACCGGAGTGACGTCCCTCAGCAGAGCCGACTTCTAAAAGTTCCGATTTTATGCTCTGCGGCTCTATCACTTGCCAGAAGCAGCCGACGGAAGCCCCTCCCCTGCCGTCTAGCCTCCCGAATTTCGAATATCGCCTCAGATTCACTTCTCCGCACGTCCTACCTTCCAGAAAGTGGTTGCTTTTCTGTTCAGAGAGTTGTGGCTATTCTTCTCTTTGATCTCCTGTTGAGTTTGTAGGTGTTCAGAATGGTTTGATCCCTATCCAGCTGAATTCCTGAGACCAGACGAAATCCAGGTCTCCTACTCCTCCGCCATCTTGCTCCGCCCCCTCATCTCATCTTTTAAAATTCTTTCTCTTTTCTTGACCTCCCCAGGCTTTAAGAAAAAACTGACATATGTGAAAGTTTGAATTCTCAAAACAGATAAATTAGAGGATAATTACTCACATTTGAAGATTTTGCTATAATTATGAAAGGATTCAAACAGACCTTTTATATAGCCAGTTCTTTATATATTATCATTTGGGAAAAATTTTCAGAAATTTAATTCAGAAATTAAAGTCATAGTTAGCATATAAAATAATATACAACTGTCATTGTATGTATTCCCAGAGATTTTATTTACCTCATATTCCACCAGGGAGATCTTGAGATGTTTAGATCCTGCCATTAAAAATATCCTAACTCTCCCTCATTCTATTCCTCATTCTTTACTCATTTCTTTCTAATATTTCTAAATAATTCATTTTAATGGTCTTATAAGAAACAGACTGGTGATCTAGGCAAATGGAACTCTCTATGCAGTTAGTGCATCTCTTGTCAGTGATTCTACTAGTTTTTAAAAGAGCTTGCCTTAAGGCAATAAATTAAATTTTTAGTTCAAGTTTATATTAACTGTTTGCTAAATTCTGACCACTTGGAGTTATTTATCTGGTTTCCATGTCTAAGAAAAAAATTTAAAATTTTTTAGCCAAGATGAAATACATTTGGAAAAAGACTACCAGAGTATTCTATACAAAGGAAACTTGATAATCAATATTATTCTAAAAGGACAATACCCACTTATAAGATATTACAGCCTACTTGTTTTTTAACCTTACTCTTAAATGTTCCAGATTAATTTCATTCCAGATATCTCAGTAAAGATATCATCAATAAATTAAGAATATTTACATTCATACATCAACACATGTAGATCCATACAATGGAATGGACTACTACTACTAATAAAAACATTAAACTATTGATACAGGCAACAACATGGATGAAATCTCAAAAGAATTATGCTGAATGGAAGAAACCAAGCAAAAAACAGTATATACTATATGATTACATTCATATAAAATTTTAGAAAATGCAAACTAATCTATAGTGAAAGAAAGCAGATCACTGATTGCCTAGAAACTGGGGAGAAAGGAGGCAGGAAGCAGGCTTACAAAGGAGTATGAGGAAACTTGGGGAGTGATGGATGGGCTCAGTATTTTGATTATGGTGATGGTTTCATGGGTATGTATGTGTGTGTGTACATGTCAAAACTTATCAAATTGTGCCTTTTAAATATGTGCAACTTACTGCATGCTGATTATACTTTAATAAAGCTGTTAGAATAGAATTAAACAATTAAACAATTAAAATCTAATATGGTCAAAAGCAACTTGTTCATATCCCCCAAATCTGCTTCTATTCCTAGTCTCTCATTTAATGATGTCATTATTTAACCATTATTTATCCTTAACCTGAAAAGTCAGAATCCTGAAATGTGCCTTCCCACTGACACCTGAACATACCTCAGTCTAATTTCATGACACTGACTCCTCAACACTGTCATGCCCACCCAACTCTAAGTCATATATGAGGGCAGGGACTCTTGGTTTCACTAGGATCTAGAATCATGCCAGAAAAACTGACTACTCAAAGTGTGTCACATAAATATACTGCAATCATCTGTGCTAAAAGTCTGTCTTCTGTTTTATGAGGGCAGAGATCCTGTATTATTCATTTTGCATCCTCAGAACACTAATCCAGTAACTATTCATCGGACTACATTATAGTTTCACACCCTATCCCGAAACAGAGCTTATGTTTTGACTTACGAGTATGCTAAAGTAGTAATATAATTAGAAAGGTCAACATTTTAAAACACCTAAATTCTCAGAAGACATTGGGGGTGGCTTTAATAAAACCAGTTAATTTTGTAAAATGGGGAGTAGATATTTCCTCAAATATAAGACTATATAACTCAAATTCATACAATATCAATTCGTATTACAGCCCTTAGTAACAAGCATTTTATTTTATTTTAAAAGATTTTATTTATTTATTTGAGAGCAAGAGAGTGAGCGATAGAGGGAACATGAGCAGGGGGAGGGGCAGAGGGAGAAGCAGGCTCCCCAATGAGCAGGGAGCCCGATGAGGGGCTCAATCCCAGGACCCTGGGATCATGACCCAAGCTGAAGGCAGACACTCAACCAACTGAGCCACCCAGGTGCCCCAATAACAGGGATTTTAAAAAACATTACACTATGGGGCGCCTGGGTAGCTCAGTTGGTTAAGTGTCTGACTCTTGGTTTCGGCTCAAGTCATGATCTCAGGGTCCTGAGATCAAGCTCTGCGTTGGGTTTCCTGTTGAGTGGGGAGTCTGCTTCCCCTCTCTGTCCCTCTGCCCCTCCCTGCCCACTCATGCACTCTTTCTCTCTCCAAAATAAATAAATAAATCTTTAAAAAACAAAACAATACCCCAAAAAACACATTATACTATGTCTTCAACACTAAGCAGAACAGAGAATGTCCAACTACCTTACCCAGTCAGCGTTTTTCAGCTCTTCCAGGTCTGTGTTAGATTCATCACTTTTTTCCATTTCTTGAATCTTCTTAAGATTCTACCAATTAAAATAAAAAGAAAACATTTAGGTATAAAAATTTCATTAAGCCACCTTCTCAAATTAAAATTTCTAACAGATACCTTCAGACAAAGTATATACAGAAGTGTTATTGAAACAGTACAGAATCTACTTCTCTGTAGATTTCAGTCAATGGTAGGCTAGACTAAATACAATACTACAGAGGGATGAACTGAGATTGCTCATCCTAATTTCCTTCTAGGCCTTGTGGCTAACTTTGTCACCACATTAATTTGTACCCCTAAGCTGTAGTGACACTGCCCTCTCCCTCAACCTCCATATTCAATCTACCATTAAATCTCAAAGATATTACTTCCTCCCTATAACCTAAGCCCTCTTCTTTTTATCTCCCCTGCAGATCTCTTAATTTAAACACTATCTGATTTTTGCCTGATTTCTGATGTGGTCTTGCCCTGGATGCTCTCCTCTCCTCATCCCCAGATCTGGTCTCTTTCATTCCTACTTCTGCTCTTCCTTCAGATAATTGGGCTCAAGAGAATCACCAATTCTTCAGGAAAGCCTTTCCTTCCCCCTCTTCCAAAGCCAAATCTTCCTACTATACAATGGCGTATAGCACCATACACCTTCCTCTGTAGCCCTTATTACATTGTAATTTTACATTTGTTTGTGCCTTCCCCCTAGGTTTCATGAAGCAAAAGTCTATTCTCAGGGGCTAATATAAGCACTGGCACTTTTCATGCTCCATATATATTTGTCAAATAATTTCATGAATAAATTTCAATATATAAAATGCTTTTTATTATTTGATACATGTGTATATTGTAAAAACCGTTAGTGCAATAAGGTAAATTACCACCTCCACCACCTCATATAATTACCTTATTGTGTATGTGGTGAGAACCTTTCAGATCTACTTTCAGCAACCTCCCAGCACGTAAGACAATATTGTTAACTACAGTCAACATGCTGTACATTAAGTCTCCAGAACTTATTCATCTTAGCACTGCAAGTTTGGACCCTTTTTTGCTTAATTTTTAATTTTTTAATTTGAGTATAGTTGACACACAATGTTATACCCCATGAAACTGCAGTAATCCAACATTTGCAATTTTAAGAAAATCTTGATAAGTAAAACATCTATTCACCTATTAATTACCAGTTTGCATTATACCATTCCTACTCACAATAAATTAACTCTAGTATATTTTACTTCTCGTTGAGCCTATTTTCCTGAATGTATGTGGACTGAGTTTAAATGTACTATATGAAACCTAGTTTATTTTACATGAAAATAATGAATACTTAATAGAAAACATTTCTAAACCATTTATTTTTGGCTTCTCAACATCTCAGACTAACCTTCCACAAAATGAGAATAACACCACCTGTTTATTTTTGTACTTAATAATGTATAGGAGTATTAATATATGAAGAATAAAATTACTCTGAACATTTGAAGAAAATGGTATAAATAATGCATTATTTCTTCTCTTGCTAAGGAAGAAATTATGGGGGGGGGAGTACTTTTACTTGTTTCAGAATGTGTTTCCATAATTACAGGTATCTTCCGATTTCTGAAAGTTCATGTAAGCCACTTCACTTTAACTGAAGACCTACACTAGCACCTACACTGTGTTTTGCTAGTTGAAAGAAATCCAGAGAAATTTTGCTTTTAAGGAAAAAGCCATTACCATCCTAATGTAGGTCTTTCATAATGTAGGTTTTCTGTAAAAGTGAAGCGGCATAATGTGAACTTTTGGAAAGCAGGGGAAACCGTATTTTATTTATTTATTTGTTTATTTATTTATTTTTTAACATTTTGGAAACCGTATTTTAAAACGAAGTCAGGTTTCTTGTTTGAGATTACGTAATAAGACACTTGCTATCCGAGTCATGCTACATTACCATCTTTGGGCCCATGTTTCCCCACCTTTAAGAGGAAGGTATTAGTATCTACCTCACGATGCTGCTGTATTTAAAATATAATCAGTTAAATATAGCAGCACCTTGCATTTACAGCCCCTGGGGAAAGCACCTCCGAAAACATGTACCTCTGAATTCTCTGTACTGCCCCAGCCCCATTCCCGAATCCTCATCCAGAGCCTTGCTCTTTTCCAGTGGTCCTGGCTACTGCTCTTGGCTGCAGCAGGCTGTGGGGAAATAATGAGAGCTAACAAGGGCTAAGCCTTCAAGCAGCCAATATTTGGCCCCAAGCACAACTCTTGTTATGGCTGGACTCACAACTGAGGCTCCCCAAAACTAAATGACATGGCTGCAGTCTCCCCGCAGGTGGGATGGAGCAGAGTGAAGTAGGTAGAAGTGGCATCGAGGTCTCAGACATGAGGTAAGATGTGTGGAAGGGACACCAGATGAATGGTCCTGTTGGGAACCTAAGTGTCCTGTTGCTGACCCCAATGGCTTAGAAAAGTCTTAGAAAACAGCTGGATAAAGTTGTACTTTACTTTTGCTAAAATTAGTATTTATGAATTGATATTACACAAGAAAAAAGAACAGTTTATGAATTGTAACTGGGCTTTGCAGATAATGGGCACTTAATATCTGGTACAACATTATGTCAAAATCTGAGTAATAATCCTTATTACTAAAATCAGGATTCTTTGTTTTTCTGTGTCTAAAGACGTACAGGATGTTCTGGTATAAGCAGTATTTCTGATATTCAAAATACCTAATTTTTTGCTAGGGATTATTAGTTGTCATTTAAAAAATCTCTGATGATTTAAAGCCACAGTTTTCAACCCAAGTCCACAATCTTCATCAGGTATTCATATTTTGAAATCAGAGCTGAGCAGAGAGGAGACCAAAAGGAGAGGCACACACACATTTATTTTGTTCCTATGAAGACTGTAATCTAGGCTGTATCCCAAAAACAATTAATGGCTTAAGGTATATATTATTCTATTGACCAGAAGAGTGTTTGTTCTAGATTTTTGTAATTAAAATAGTGAAAGAAAAGAGATTAAGGAGGTGAACTCCCTCTGGGCACCTAGGCACTCTATCAGGCTATGACGTCTCTATCAGCAGCAGGGCTCCTCCCTCCCCAACCCAAAAAACCAAGAGCTGAGAATAAGTACTTCATCTCTATTTCTTCCCACTCCAGCCTTAGGGCATTTGCATTGGCTGTTCCCTCTTGCCAGAATGCTTTACCACACATATCCACATAGCTAATTCCCATACATCATTTTTGCTCAAATGTCACCTTCTCAATGGGACCTACCTTAACTATCCTATACAAGCTCCATGCCCTGCCCCTAGCAATTCCCCTAGTCTATGACTTTTCCCAGAAAGCATCCTGCCTTCTAACAGTGTATATGACTTACTTTTAATATGTTTACTGCCTGCCTCTCGTTGCCAGATTTTAAGCTTCATAAGGAAGTATTTTTGTGTATTTTGTTCAGTGATGGGCTCCTCAAATCTCTAAAAGTATGCCTTGCACTTAGTAGGTACTTGCTAAGTATTTATTGAATAAGTGAATTAAGATCTTTCAGCCAAGAACAGTCCAACTCTTAAATCTCCTCAACAGTTCTTATCAAGTCAACTTTAATAAGAAGCCCAATGAAAGGGAAAATTATTCAGAGGAAAACCTGAATTTTTTTCTCTAAACTCAGAATCCACTGGAGGGCTGGAGAAGAAAACCTCTATTTATGCTTCACAGAAAAATATGCTCTCCAGTTCAGGGAAATAAATATGGAACCCAAGCTCAAATTACATTTAAGTGTCTCATTCAGTCAACAGATGATAAAATAAATAATAAAATAAGTAAATTAAAAAGAAAAAGTAATAAGCCTAATACCACACAGAAGAAATGAAGTAATACTACTACTAAACAGGTCAGTAAGATTCAGTCAGCATCAAAATGAATTGGCTTGAAACCTTAATGCCTGAGAGGAGCAGGTGGGTACACACGTGCCAACACCCTAACCACACACCTTCCCCACCTGTAACCAAGAGCACAACGAGCCCCAAACCGCACTAAATTTTTTCTGTCGTATTCCCCCTGTCAGCTTAAGGCTGATTCCACGACAAGCACTATATTGTTTACCAAGGATCTATAAACCAAAAGATAATGGAAAAAGCTGAAAACATGTAGGAAAAGCTCATTTTTACAAGCCTATATATATAGAGACCATTGGAAATTAAAAAAATATATATATATATTTTATATATATATATATATATATTTTTTTTTTTTTTTAATTTCCAATGGTCTCTAGCCCTTCTAGGATCCAAACAACAGAAAGCAAAACAAACAGTATGGACACAGTAGAAGATGGGCGGTCTTTGGCAAGATGAAAATATTTATCTTTTTTTGATTCCTACTGCTACTACCAAAGCTGATTACAGCAAGTCTCTCAACTGTTCTTTCTGCTCCAGTTTCTTCCTCATTTGGTTTATCTCTTCACCTCCCTACGATGGGTTCCCACTGTCTCTGCTGGGGCCTTCAAACTGGGGTACCTGTACTTCTGGGAACCTCTGGTCAAACGGTACTGCGATATGCCAGGGAGCATTTATAATGACATATGTTACTCACAGATAATGTGATGAAGGTTGTGGTCAGCTGCCCAGATGCACGCCCCGCACCCCCTTCAGGAATGAAGTACTCTCTTCCACTGGCTGCTGGAGGTGTTGTCTGCCAGAGGCTCATAGCCTAATCCTGCTCCAGGAGCTGCACTCAGCGCGCAGGCAAGGAGCTGCCTTGTCACGGGTATGCCCCATCTCTGGGGTAGCCCACACCCAGCCATCGGTCTGTGCGGAAGTACACAGGTCAGGCCCCCTTGCCTCCCTTGGGACAACTCTGAAGGGCCATCTCAACTTCTGAGCTCTCTGTGGGATTGGCTGAGGCCTGCTATACTGGCATCATAGTTCAGCTTTTCCTTCACCCCCTCACAGGTATTCCCCAAAGCATTCCCAATAAGACCTCCTGAACTCAAATTTTACCCCTCAGAATCCATTTCCTGCAGGAACTCAATCCACACATGGAATTAAGTTTTTAAAATATT